CACGTATTTGGGTCGAGCCTGATCCCAAAATTCGGGGTGTTACATTTCCTCCACCCTTATAAAAATTTCGTCCCCGAAATTTGAACGGTAGAGCAATCACTAGAACAGAGCATTCACTAGAACGATTAAACACTGTACTCTCAGGAACGATGCTTGTTGGGATATATAACATTTTCCGTCCCCCTTAAGAAAAATTTCGACCTCGAAATTTTGGACCGAAGTTATTTATTAGCTATGGTGGAACTAAACTGGATCGCTGAGACGATTATTAAATACCTAGTACCGAGAACTGAAAGCGGGATTACAAAGTAAACGTTCCACTAGCGATCTAAGCTAAAAGTAGATACTTCCATCTCATAGTCTTCCATTCACCCCTCATGATCACTTCAATTAGTTCGTTCATCCGCTCCATCGTCTCCGCGACCACCCTCTACCCTTCCTATGGCAAAGACTCTAGGTTGGCCACCAGCTCTTGACATTTGACCCTGATCGTGACTAGTATGGTGGTTGTTGCCGTCATTGAGACGTCTTCCATTGTTGTTGTAGGATCGATTGGGTTGGTTCCTATACTGTTGTCCGGTCTGGGTTCGTCCTCCTCCGCCCCGGACTGATTGTTCAGACTGGGCTCTCTCTTGCCCTCCCTTCCTAGGGCAATCTCTAGCAAAATGTCCTGGCTCACTACAGTAAAAGCAAACTCCCAAGTGCAACTTGCACTCCCCCGAGTGGTTCTTCCCACACTGGTTGCATGGGTCTCTGAGAAGGTAAGTCGGCCCTGACCGGGTTGAGCCGGCCTGGCTTTGGGTGGCCTCATAGTAGCTCTGGGCCGTTCTCCTCCTTGCCTGGCTCAGCTGTCGTGGCCCCTCAGACAGGCTGGCAGCCTTTCTCTTAGCCCCCTCTCGTTGCATCTCCTCCTCAAGCAGGGCAGTATCAGCTCTTTCCAATCGGAGAGCTTCCTGATAAATCTCTTCCCTGTTGTTCCAGTTCAGTATACTTAGCTGGCGCCGAAACGCAGGCTCCAGGCTCTCCAGGTAGTGGGTGCGTTGAGCTGCTACATCTTGAAATTGAGGCCCTCCATAGGTAAGTAGCTTGTCAAACCTAGCCGTGAAATCAACCACACTCTCTTCTTCTTCGCTGCCCCACTTCTGCCTTATCAGTAAGAATTCCCTCTGCTTCCCGATCCGGTAGGCCTCCGGTATGAAGTGGGCTTTGAATAGCTGCACGAAATCTGGCCAAGTGATGGCCGGTGGATCCTCTTGACTAGCTGGCTGGTTAGTCCACCAGTTGTATGCAGCGTCTTGCAGCAAAGACACGGTCAGCAGTACCCTGTCCTCATCATCAGCTCTCATCTCGACTAGCGTACGAGTGACCTTGGCCAGCCATTGCTCTACTTCCATGGGGTCCGTTGAACGCTCCCCCTTAAAATCTTCCACCTTTCTCTTCCGAAAACCTAAATAATCTGGTGGTGGACGTCTCTGAGGTGGTGGCACCGGTGGTGTGGTGTTCTGGCCAACACTTGCACTGTAGACGCATAGGGTCTCGTTAGAGCACAGTTATTTCTTCCTTAATATAGTTTAGAGTAGACTGGAGATTCTAAATTTCTTAAAAGAAATCCTTGACTTGTTTGGCCAACTATGACTTAAAATCTTTAAAAACAAAACCTTTCAAAACTGAGACCGACATTCCAGTATTTCTTGGAAACCAAGAAACAGAGGACGACCGGCTCTGATACCAAAATGAAACATCCCTCCTCTTTGAATTTGGAAAAAGACATTTCTACCCCGGGGTATAGTTAAAAATCTCAAATAACACAAGTTTAAATAAAAATACCAAACTCAAATATCTCAATATCTCGAACCGTAGCCCTAAACATGTGGGCAAAACTCAAATTGTCCAAAGGAAATGAATCTCCATTCTTTAACTCTTAACCATAACGTCTTAATAACTTGAAAGGTTCTTCGAAGCTTACTCTGATCCCTGGCTCGACATCTCTCAACGACGATAGTGTTGAACTCCTCTAGCTTGCAGATCACGGACTGGCTGGTTAGGTTTACCTCCTCTACAATCTGGTGAGTGAATTGGGGTCAGTCTACGCCTTACTTTTATTACTTTCAATACTTGAGCACTCTGCTTAAAACACTTACTTAAACTTAGGGAATGGTTTGTACTTCCGCCTTTAAACTTTAACACTTAAAACGTATTATTTCTTCCATTATCTTATTGTGGGGCCCCTACCTCGACTTAGCTGGCGCCACTACTAGCCTTACTAACTTTCTTACTTCTTAAACATGACTACCCTCACAATGGGGTGCCCCTCAAATGGGTTTGATCACCGTGGAACGAATCACCATCCGGTGTCAAACTACGGTGTGACTACCGCGGAACGTATCACCATCCGGTAGCACACCTAAAACTAAGCAATGGAAACCGCGGAACTCATCACCGTCCGGCTCCACGCCTGACCAACTACCGCGGAACGTATCACCATCCGGTAGTGATCAACTACCGCGGAACTTATCACCGTCCGGTAGGGATCCTTCTAGCTAGTGGCTAGCTAAGCGAGGTTAACTTATTCTTACTCGTGACTTTCTCTTGCTCTTATCACTTTAACTTAATCGTCAAACGAAATGTAAAAGCTTAAATTAAATACTCAAAGCTCATAAACATATCCTTCAAACTATGAATCAAAAGAACACACTTCATCACCCATAAACATAAGCAAGCACACAATTTCACATAAAACAACTTCTTAAACACGCAAGGCAAATACTTGAAAATACGTAAGGCGTAGAATTTACCCCCTTTACACTCACCTTAAATCCGTCGAAACCAACTCTGAATCTGCTCTAAAATTTCCAAACTTGCTCCAATTAAATTCTCCTCGTTCTCACGATTCCACAGGCGCTGACGATTTCTCGTTCGGACGTCAATTGATCGAGTTATGACCAAATTAAACATTGAGTCAGTTTAAAAGTACTAGGTACCAAAACTGAAATTTTCGAGTCAACACAGTTGACCACGACCTCTCTGGAAAAAAAAATTACACATTTAATCCTCTAACTTCTCGAATTGCCAAGACTGATACCTGAACTGTCCGATTTGCGTCCCCAAGCTTTCGAGGCTCGTATCTCCCCCGTCCGACGTCGAAACTCAATTCCGTCAAGACCGCGATGCTTCTGGGATTGTCCTCTTTGCGATGATGCCAAGTTTTTAGAGTTTGAATGAGGTCGACCAAGCCGGTGCCGCTATCGAAACGACGATTATAACGCGTATTCGTCAGATTAATCGGAGTTTAAAAGTCGGGCTTAGGGACAGGTGAGGTCGAGAGCCTTACCTCTGCAGTAACACGAGAGGGCACTATCGTTGATGGTGGTTACGATGATCAGGTCAGACTGGCGCTGTTGTTCTAACAAGAGGGATGCGGTCGCGGCGGACGAGGTGATACACCACCGCCGGGCTGGGGTCGCTGCTATTGGTTTCCGGCAGGCTGACTTCTCGGCTGCTTCTCGTGAGGAGAAAGGAAAGGGAAAAGGGACGGGTAAAGCTTTGGGGACTAGTCGCTGCGCTGGGAAGTAATAACCGGGGGAAAATGAAAGGGTAACGTGAGCGTATGTGAGGGAGAGGGTGCGGGTTAAGTATAACGGTTTGGGGAAGGGTTTTGTTTGCTAGGGGATTAGAGTTTGGGATTCTTCATTTAGTGAATCCGGCCGGTTTCTTGGCATGGGGGGAAAAGGTGATGGGAGAAATAATGAGGGCCGAGCTCCCTCTTGGCCCGTGACCTTTTTTTTTAAATAATAATAATAATAATAATAATTATTATTATTACTAACCCGCGGTTGCAACCCTTAGTACGTAACCGCTAATCCAACCGTTCACGTATTTGGGTCGAGCCTGATCCCAAAATTCGGGGTGTTACATTTTAGGTGCTGGCGCCTTAGACTAAGGCGCCCCCACCTTAAACCGTTTTTCTTTTAACTGGCCTAGGTGCTGGCGCCAGAGACTAGGGCGCCCCCACCTTAGTCCTTTTTTAAAAAAAAAAAACCCGACCCCCCCCCCCCCCCCACACCCACAACAGCCTTATCTTCTTTCCTTTCTCCTCCTTCACACATCCTTCCTTCCTTCTTCTTCCTCTCCCCGACCACACGCCTCCTCCTCCTCCCTTCTGGACCACCCTCCTTCCTTCCTCTCCCGCCGTCGCTACCTAGCGCCACAGCCACCAGGAGCGAGGCCGCCGCAGTTCTAGGCGCCGCCGCCCCTGTATAGGCCCCGCCGCCTCAGTTCAAGGACCCGCCGCCACTGTGCCAGGCAGCGCCGCGGCAGTTCTAGGCGCCGCCGCACCATAGTCCGACGCCGCAGTGCCAGTCGCCGCCGCCCCAGAGTCCGACGCCGCCGCTACCAGTAGAAGCGCCACCGCCCGGAGATGTCCTCCGACGAAGAAGAAGTCGCCGCCGGCAGAGGCAGGGGAGAGGCCGGCGAGGTCGTGGCGGCCGTTTGCGCGGTTTGTGTTTTTTTAATGGTTTGAATTTTTTGTAATGGTTTGTGTTTTTTTTTAACGTTTTGTTGCTTTGTTTTTGCAGTTCCTAGACTTATGGATCCTTATTCGATGACATTACCGCCGGCGATAATTGATCCAGGTCCGGTCGATGCGACACTTCTTTGGGGACATGGCCAACATCGTATTGACTCTGTTTGGACAAACGAGGTAAGTATTTGATAATTATTCATGTAAAGTTAATTAGCTAATTAGATTATTTTAGTTTGTGAATTGAACTGTACTGTTAGAATTAATTAGTATAATTTGATATTAGATTAGATAGATTAGAATTAATTAGGTAAAATTAGAATTATTACGAATGAGGATGAATTAATATAAGTTTTGTGCACTATAGGCTGGTGATCGATCTTACCATGTTCGAGGTACGACCATTTTAGTACCTTACCGTGAGCTTTATCGGCCATATCTCGAAGCGGCAGGCTTGTTAAGTGTCGTGCCCCTAGTCCCTATGAACCCCGATGCGAGTTTGATTACTGCGCTCGTAGAGCGGTGGCGACCCGAGACGTCGACCTTCCATCTACCGTGTGGTGAGATCACGATCACGTTAGAGGACGTTGTTACACTGTCCGGTTTGGCGATCGACGGTGATGCCGTCGTAGTTGATATACCGGATGAGGAGTGGTCGGCGATCTGTTTGAGACTGTTAGGACGGGTTCCGGTTGATCTTGTAGGCGGGGTCGCTGTTGTTAGGATTGTTTGGCTGAGGGTTGAATTCAGTCATCTGCCGGAAGATGCATCACAGGAGGTTATAGAGCAGTTTGCACGAGCTTATGCTCTATCTCTGATTGGAGGTGTACTTTTCCCGGATCGGTCTGGATCTACGGTGCACCTATAGTACCTACTTCTGATTGAGGATTGGGAGAGGGCTGGAGGGTTCGCCTGGGGAGCTGCTGTTTTATCCTACCAGTACCGTGAGATGGGTAGGTCGACTTTGCACATTTCGCATACCGGCACTTCTCTAGCCGGTGACCTTGGTGGATGGGTCGCCCTACTGCAGTTCTGGGCGTGGGAGCGATTCCCACATCTGGCACCTCGAGATTCAGAGACGAGGGCACCGGCCACCGAGGATGCACATCCACGTGGTCTTCGATGGCTTTCGGCCAGCAGTCGTCAGTATGGTGACCAGCTATTCCAGTACAAGCTGTGGTTTGACGCGATGGACAACGTGGTGGTTAGTATATAACGTTCCATTTTATAGAATAGTTTTCATTTGTTTTATTTTTTTTTAGATTTAGGGATAATAACGTTAAATTTTTGCTATGTAGTGGCAACCTTACCGTGAGAGAGCACTTCATCTCAGAGGTAGTGTGATACAGTCTGAGACATTTCGAGCAGTAGTGCCACTTATATGCTTTTCATCGGTGATGTGGCATCATCCAGACCGCGTGCTCCGGCAGTTTGGCATGAGGCAGCAAGAGCCTCATCAGCCACATCCTGAGAGTGAGGTTAGGTTTTTTCTTCGCCAGGCTACTCATGGGCCATCGCGTGGGCAGCAGTTGGTACACGCCTCCAGAGTGTCGCTTGATTTCTGGAACCGTCGACACGAGTTTTTAGCGACATCTTCATACACTAATGAGGAGTTAGCCTACCACTCGGAGCATATGGAGTGGTATAGAGATGTCACCAAACGTTCCGGCACACGGAGAGGAGCTGTAGCGGAGGCATTGGTTAGTTATTTTATTTGTTTGCTTAATTTGTTGTTAACTGTGTGAAATATCTGACATTTTGTTGGTGTTTTTTAGTACGACACTATCGAGCATGCTGAGGTGAGTTTGCGTGACGGTGGGAGGGCTGGAGGGCTGACCCCTGACCAGTGTGAGGACTTGGCCAACTTTATGGCATCCGGGGTTGTTACACTAGGGTTTGAGCAGCGTAGATACCCTGATCTCACAGTACATGTGCAGCCCCATTATGCGGAGCCTGTCATGACTGCCTGGCCAGAGCGTACTGATCCGACACCGGACTAGGTCACCCCAGAGCCACAGTTCAGACAGGAGCGTAGGCCACGTAGACAGCGACGTGAGCATCCTGATGTACCTAACCCATTTTGGGTTTCAGATCGACAGCGAGCACAGCCCATCCGGCCTACATCGAGGAGCTTCCAGTTTAATCCGCTTCGGTCGCAGTTTCAGTCAGATCCTTCCTCAAGCTTTCAGCCGCCGCGACGCCAGCAGTTTCAGTCAGATCCGTCTTTGAGCTTTCAGCCACCGCGACGGCAGCAGTTTCAGTCGGATCCGTCTTCGAGCTTCTATCAGCCAGAGGATAGCTTCCATACACCGCAGTATACTACGATGGGAGGCGGAAACATGGCTTCAGGTGGTGATACTAGAGCAGCCTCGACTCCCAACCTGTGGGACAGCCTAGAGGGTGATCAAGTTTTTCAGGAGACGATGTGGAACTATGAGCAGAATCTGCAGTCTCAGCAGCATGGTGGCGGTGCGCCTGAGGAGCATCTTCAGTCTCAGCAGGATGATCTGTTCGGTACACAGGATCAGGATGGTGGTGACGAGGAAGATCATTCCCAGGCGTATGATGGTCGACCTATGCGTAATAGGGTGGCTGCGAGGTGCGGTACTGGCTGCCATCTAGTGGTGGAGCATGGTGGTCATCGTGGTGGTCGTCGTGGTGGTCGTCAGTGAGACTATTATGTAGTTTGCTTATTTTTGGATTGTTATTGTGTACTTCCTTTACACTATTATGTGTGGACTATTATGTTTGGATTATTATGTAGTTTCTATTATGTTTGGACTATATAGGATTATGTTATTATTTTATTAACGATAAAAACCATAACTACAACAACTTCAAACAACATCTTCTACATGATTATTCGAAGGAAATACAACAACTACTACATTTGAACAAACTTCTCAGCCACGTCTATTACCTCTACTTCCTCTTCTACCACCTCTCGCTCTTGGTTGGCCACCACTCCCTCTTCGGTTGCTCCCACTCCCACTAGCTTGACCACCGCAGGTTGATGCATTATGTCCCGCGTGGTTACAATTGCTACACACTTGGTGTGATGCACCCTCCCTTGGCCAATCCATCTCGTTGTGAATCCTTGTAACCCGTGGCCTTCCCGGCTTCCTAAGCATGTGCACATTAGGATGGAGAGTAGGACCATTATGCTTCTTCCAACCCTTAGGTTCACCAAGAGGTGCAAAACTTGTCCCATAACAAGCCATCACTGTTTCCATCTTGTAGACATTGTTTACAACCTATACGCATTAGCCCCCATTCGGTTGCAAGCTGCAATGGCATGAGAGCAAGGAATTTTATTTCCTTGAAATTTACCACAGGTGCAAAATCCCTCTCGGTTTTGGTCGTCAAAGTGCACTGTGAGTGTGTTTGACCCCGTCATGTTGAAATTGTTGGGGGGAGTCTGAACTACATAGATGCCTTGACTCTGATCAAGAGCTGTCACAGAATGTCCAACTGCCTTTTGTGACATGTACTTCATCAGCTCTTCGCACTTGGTGGAGTACTGTGAAGGACCACTTCTAATTTCTGCTCCTGTATCCAACCTGTACTTATCGAATTTCTCCACCAATCGCCAATAGGTATGTTGCACAAGAGAAGCTATAGGAAGTGCACGAATACCTTTGAAAACACCATTGATGCTTTCTGCCATGTTGGATGTCAGCATAGACCAACGACGCCCACCGTTGTAGTTATCATGTGCTAAACTCCAACGAATCTGATGTTGATCCACCCAGTTATCACATGAAATATTTCTATCACTGGCCACCTTCTTAAATTGCTCAACTTGACGATCGAACTTCTCCAACCGTTTTTCTCCAGCTAACAAAATAAACAACCACACGGGTTAGATAAATTCATGACAAAATTACATGAAAATAAATAACATAATTAAATGAAGAAGGCTTACATACTCGAAATAGTTGCTTATACATAATTCTGCTTTTAGTCTTCCTTTGCAAATTGCTTGCATAGTGTCGCATGCACCACCTCCACTCCCAACCTCTTCCGATGTTATTCATGGCTTCATAGAGTCCTGCATGTCTATCTGAGATGATGCATACATCATTTCGATCAGTCAAACCCTGAACGTTCCTTATGAACCATGGCCAACTCTCAGTATTCTCGCTCTCCACTATGGCAAATGCAATTGGAAAAATTTTCTTCCGACCATCAAATGAGCTCGCCATGAGTAGCACTCCTTTATACTTCCCAGTAAGAAATGTTCCATCAACAACCATGACGCCCGGACAATTCTTGAATCCATCTATACAAGGTCCATAAGCCCAGAATACTCGCTGAAATATCGAATGACCTGGTTGAGTCGAAGGAACTCTTACCCAATCAATCACCGATGTTGGCATTTTTCTCTTGACTACCCGCAAGAATGTCTGCAAAAAATCATAGGATTCTTCCCAATTTCCATGCAACTGCTCCAATGCTCTTTGTTTCCCATACCAAGCCTTCTTGTAAGTAACTTGCATATTAAACTTATCTTTCAACTCAGCTTGCACAGTTAGAACACTCAGATTTGGTTGGGCACGTACCAAATGTTTGACGGCCTCAGATATCATGTCGACATCAAGATGGCGATGATCCGTCGGTTGAGTCGTACTGCTACAAGAATGCACCAACTCAGCCTTTCTCACAGTCCATTCGCCTCCAGCATCTCGACATCCAAACCGCACCATCCAAGGACAATTGTCATCCTTGTGCCTCAAGCATCTGACCTTCCAGATTGAAGGTGACGACTCCACCACGCCATATTGAAAGTTGCGTTGTAGTGCCTGGTGTTTAATCGCCATCTGTGCAGCTTGTTTCGAGTGAAATATCTGCCCCTTGTAGAATTCTCCTTCAAAACTATCACCAATAAGCATTGGAATTACGCCATATGAATCACCAAGTGGCCGTCTATGCGCTCTCCCGTAACCAGTCTAGCTCGCTGCTGTCTCCTAAGTTGGCGGCAAGTGCGTTCGAGCTCTGGATCCAATGGCAGTAAACCTCCTGACTGGCTACGGGTCATGCACTACCTGCACACACTCAAGCAAGCAAACCCGTGAAGGCACAAGTGGGACAAAGCAAACAAAGCGAAAAGAAAAGCTAGAGTAACAGAAATCACTTTTCTTCAACAACCTAGCCGTCCCCGGCAACGGCGCCAAAAACTTGACTCGCTGTTACTGTCACTCTAGAAATTGGCCAAGTGTAACCACTTCCTAAAGCGTAGTATAGCGGGTTTGGGTTTTAATGTCAACCCGGGTCCTAGATGTGATGACTACTCAGTGAATTCGTATTATCTAGCAATGAAACTTTAGTGAAGTTCTAAACTAACAAGCAAGCAAAGTAACTAAAACGGTTGTATTCAGGTTAAGAGAGGTCACCCGGATATGGTTCCCCCTAGTCTGCAGTTAAGCCGGATTGTAATTACCAAGTTCGATTCTATGAAAGTTATACTGCGGAAGGTTCTTAATCAGTCTGAAGTCTCGACTAAAGGTCTTCAGACCCTCTCAATCTGAGTCTCTAGCTGGCGACTAACCTACACCGGAGTAAACAGATTGAGGCCCTATGAACAAAACCTCCACTACCGAATGGAATTCGGTACAGAATAGTGAACTGGCTCCTCGACTAAAGTCACCAATTCACTACCTTCGATTAAGGATACTCTATCAACCTAGGCAGATATTATCATTCTAGGTTAAAGCAGAAACAACAGGAATTTGATCAGGATTCAAGTCATTCAATCATTCAAACCTCAATCGAATATAATCAAATCATAGAATCAACACTTGGGTTCATACAATCAAACCTAACATACAGAACTAGGGTTTCCCACACCCAGATGAATGGGGGAACTACTCCATGGAGAGAGAAGCAAAAGCAGAATCAGACGCGGAAATCATACTGTGAAGATGGATTTCTGCTCCTGGACGTTGAATCGGCACTTCTCCAAGCTCAAACCAAGCTCCAATGGTGTTGAAGATCGATCTAGGGCACTTGGAGGCTCTTGTTCGTCGCTTTCTCTCTCTAGGAACCGCTCTGTCTCTCAAAAACTCGAATCCCCTTCTGTTTGGCTCGGAATCCGCTTAAAAACCAAACTTTCCCCGAGTTGCACGGCCAGGTGCACGGCCGTGCACAACACCATTCTGGCCGTGCACCATGAAACGCACCGTATCAATTATTGTGTCTTCGTCCATCTTGCACGGCCAGGCGCACGGCCGTGCAAGCTTCATGGCCTGCCCGTGCATGGCCTCGGCGTGAGGCGCACGGCCAAATGGCTCAAGTGCACGGCCGTGCAGCCTCCTGGTCTGCCCGTGCACTCCCCAAAAAGCTCGCCCTTCGTCCGTTCTTCGTCCAATCGACCCCAGACTCGCTCCTAAGCCTTCATTCACGTACTAGGACCTGAAATAACACAAACAAGCACAACCTAGCGTGAAATCGGCCTAAAACACGAGAATCAACACCTCAAACGGTGTAAGTATGAGGGTAAAAACATGTGTAAATGACGGTCTATCAAACTCCCCCACACTTAACCGTTTGCTTGTCCCCAAGCAAACCAAGTCAGACACTAGGTAAGCTTACATATTTCAATCAACCAACATTGGGGACAAGTCATAAAGGCACAGAACACGTGAATCGCACTGGTTTTCAAACATCAACACATGCACAACCTCAATAACAACCTGGACAACCACCACAAAGGACATTCGAGTGCAGCAAATCGAGTAAAGGAAGAGTCTCCCTTCTGTTCACTGGCCAACCTAGACTTGATTCAACCACTTACTCAAAACAGTCAACTCATGCATCCAACTCAAGACATCAGAATAGAGACCGAGCAATCTAGGTCCTCACCGGGGTACAAGAGCATATAGAAAATGAAAATGAATCACTCACTCTCGACCAGTGGGGTCAGGACAATTTGATGCGAAAGATGCGCATGCTATTTCTCTCAATCCCTATCATCTCTTCACCATGATGGCAGCCTCTAAATGCTAGAGTTCACATATGGGGTGTCACCACTAACTAATCAGGAGGT